TCTTCCACTTACGCCAATTGGATTTGTTATTAAAAAAACAATACTGTGTTAAACCAGAGAATTGGAGATCATATATATATATATATAATATATATATATATATATATATATATATATATATTATATATATATATATATATTTTAAACAGGACAGGTATTATTCTGATGCAGAAATTTTTGCTACAAGAATTCCATTATAAAAAAAAAAATCCAAAACATATGGCATTAGTCCAACAGACAGTCAAGATGAAAGCTAATATCCAGAGTGAGAAATGAAGTTTGTGTCATTCAGTGACAAAATGATTGTTCAATGGTCATTTGCAATTAGAATGTGGGATCACATATCTAAGGAACCCTTTGCTTTAGGGAAGGAGGTAAGAAAATGGAATGTTGATTATTATTACCTACATTTATCAAGATGATAGGAAAAAAGATATGGGATGTGGCAATAATTTGTTACTTGGACAGCATGGAAAAAAAAAAACAACAAACGTAAAATGATGGAAAAGCATCTAGTCCTAGATGATAAGAGATATACATAAAGGTCCATGAAGACTTCTTCTGGCTCCAGCATACACACCTGAGTAAAGGTGTGGTATTTCCTCTTAACCATGATGGTATGGGGCAATGGAAGAGAAAAATAAGACAAGCTTGAGATTTACATTTAGGAAAGAACTTTGGGAAATCCTAATAGCATGTAACTATTGTCAATAAAGATAACTTTCCCTCAAAAAACAATAATCTGCTTATTTGTAATGGCAATGAAATTGCAAGCCTGCACTTCAGCAGCCTAAAGATGCTCTGTCATTAAAGGTATCTGGGGACTCCCAAACTTGCTCAGGGAAGATATGGATTATGAAAACTGTAAAGGACCCCAAAAAGGCACACAGTCCCCATAATTTTTTTTCGAATGTGATAATGGACAAAAGAGAACCTGCAAAAGGGTAAGTCCAGGGCTGGGAAGAACATTTAAATAAGTAGTTTCTTCCACTTAGCAAAGTTCAAATTAAGGAGATGTCCCAACTGCTATATCATAGGGACCTCAATATGCCTGCCAGATGAACCAGTGCCTCTGTGTGTCTCCTGTCCTTCAGCATAGTAGGTTGAGCCAGGTGGCAGTAGAGAGATTTCTATAACTTGTGTGGCTAGTGCAAGTGTCACTGAACCTTAATGGGCCATATTCAGAACTGATAGAAAAGCCATGCACCATTCAGAGCTCTTGGACTTGGAGCTGGTTGCAATAACTAGGTAGAATTTTAGATTGTCTCACTTGGGGAAAGAGGAAATATGCTCTAAGTTTGGTAGGATACTTAGTAACCAGAAGGGCATACTGCATTAAGAAAGGTAAACACAAATCTATAAAAAGTACTAGTGGAACTACAGAATTATTTAGGGTATGGGAGTTCCATGGACCTACTACAGAGAGTATTTAAAAGACGGGGGCAGAGCAAAGATTAAACTGTCCTTGATGGTGAAAGAAAAGGCTGTGGTTGCAGCAGGGAAGAAATACCCACCTGGATCCCTCTTCCCTGCTGAAGAAAAAGCCTTAAGCTACTGTAAGATAGTCAGACACCGTCAATCAGGACACAAGTAAAGACTCACTGTAGCATGGGTAAAAGAAAATACACTCTACCCCTGGGAAGAGACAGGAGGCTATCCTGAAGCCAGACTTGGGGAGGGGCAAGAAACAACCCAAACAAAGATTCACCAAACAAACTGTGAAGAGTTTAGCTGCCACAAGGAAGAGGGGTAGGAGCACTGAGAAAGCCATTAATCCTAAAATCTAGCCACAATCTAAGAATAAAAACTATGGAAAATATTTTAAAGATCAAGGGCTCAAAGACTTCTTCCCATGAGTTCTTTCCTAAGGAATTTACTAGAAACTGAACTTTATCAAAACAGAAGAGTGGGAAAACTTTAGCAAATTAGTTTTAGTATAACTTAATTGCAAAAATAAGATTAAAATTTAGGAGCATAATCCTATATAATAAAATCCTAATATGCTAAGTGTCCAGTTGTCTGTTCTATTCAACCAATCAAAGCGTAGTATGTTAATGATATGCTAAGGCCACTCAGTGGCTCCCTATGATGTGCACCGACCACCAGGGGGCAGATGCTCTCACTGGTAGGTTAGCTTGCTGCTGGGGTCAGGCTGATTGGAACTGGAACCCTCCTGCAGTCCCTCCCTGGCTGGCCAACCTCCCATGCCCCTCCCAGCAATGATGATGCACCAGTGGGGTCCCTCACCTGGCTTGCACCCTCTCACAATTCAGGACCCTAGGAGGATGTCAAAGAGCCAGTTTCAGCCTGGTCCTGCAGGCCAGGCAGAGGGACCCCACTGGTGCATGAATTTGTGCACTGGGCCTATAGTGTTATATAACTGTGCTCTATGCCTTGTGTTGTATGTTCCAATAAAATAAAAGCAATGCATCTAAAAATGGGAGGAGAATGGAGATGGAATAAGGAAAGTAGAATAAACTCATTAACTGTGATTTAGGTAAGTAAAAGTTAAGAAATATTAAAAATTGACAATACAAATTATAGATAAATGAAATAAGGAACTAAGGACACTAAGAAAGGTGTAAACACAAAGATAACCACCAGAACAAAAATGTTATCCTCCCTAAATACAAAATTTAGAGATTATTTAAAAATAAAACACTCTAAACACTTATAAAGAAAAACAATGAATTATTACAGCATAAATCTAATAATTGAAAGCGAGCATATTCATCTTATCAACATTTGTGGGTTTAATGTGCCTATCAAAAGGGAAGATTTTCAACTTTCATAAAGATGAAACTATATAGTATGCTCTATTCAAGAGACGTGCATAAAACAGAAAGGCTACAAATAAAAGGACAGTCAAAGGTATTCCAGGGAAATGGCAACACTGAGAAAGCAGGGGCAGCAGCACTGATATCAGACAAAGTAAAAGGCAAACAATAGTAAAGATTTCCAAATCCATATGCAAAAATGAAATAGAAGAAAATGAAAAGAGAAACTGATATATCTGACCACATATTAGTAAGTGGCAGACAAGCATGATAAAAAGGAAATCCAAGACAACTAACAAATTTGGAAAAAATATTTGTAATACATATAACAGATAAAGGGCTGGTATTTTTATTTTATTTTTTACATAGAGGGAGAGGGATAGAGTTAGAAACATTGATGAGAAACATCGATCAGCTGCCTCCTGCACACCCCCTACTGGGTATGTGCTCGCAACCAAGGTACATGCCCTTGACTGGAATTGAACCCAGGGCCTTTGAGTTTGCAGGCTGACACTATCCACTGAGCCAAACTGGTCAGGTCAGGGCTGGTATTTATTTTAATATAAAAATAAATCTTAAAAATCGGGGGTGGGGGTGGGGGAGGCGAGGACAAAAATAAAAAATAACTCACTTGCCCTGGTGAGTGCAGCTCAGTTGTTAGAGCATTAGCTCGCACACCTAAGAGTAGTGGGTTTGATTCCAGTCAAGGTCATGTGCCTGGGTTATGGGTTCATTCCCTGCCCCTGGTCAGAGTATGTGTGGTAGGCAATCAATGGATGTATCTCTCTCACATCAGTGTTTCTCTTTCTCCCTTCCCTCATATGTCCCTTCCACTCCCTGAAAAGCAATGGAGAAAATATCCTTGGATGCCCAAACCGGTTTGGCTCAGTGGACAGAGCGTTGGCCTGCGGACTGAAAGGTCCAGGGTTCGATTCTGGTCAAGAGCATGTACCTTGGTTGCAGGCACATCCCCCGTAGGGGGTGTGCAAGAGGCAGCTGATTGATGCTTCTCTCTCATTGATGTTTCTAACTCTCTATCCCTCTCTCTTCCTCTCTGTAAAAATTCAATAAAATATATATATTTTTAAAAATATCCTTGGGTGAGGATTAACAAAAACCCAAAACAAAACAACTCCTCACCAATTAAAAAAAGGGCAAGACAATAAATTCACAAAAATTGAGTCAATAAAACGTAAAAAGTATTCAATTGTACCCATAGTAAGAAAAGTACATAGTAAAACTGTATTTCACTTATTGAAAATAAAAATGTAAAACCACCAAACTCTGTTGGAGGGTGTGAGGAAACAAGCCTCTCTCATACACTTCTCATAGAAATACAAATTGGTACAACCTTCATGGAGAAAAATTTGGCAATTTAAAAAATGCATTTACCTTCTGACATAACATTCTTAACTCTAGGGACATACCCACAATATGAAAATGCATGTTGCCGAAACTGATTTGGCTCAGTGGATAGAGCGTTGGCCTGCGAACTCAGGGGTCCCAGGTTTGATCCCGGTCAAGGGCATGTATCTTGGTTGCGGGCACATCCCTAGAGGGGGTTGTGCAGGAGGTAGCTAGTCGATGTCTCTCTCTCTCATTGATGTTTCTAACTTTGTCTCTCTCCTTTCCTCTGTAAAAAACCAATAAAATGTATATTTTTTAAAAATGCATGTTTTTCCTATTTTCTTTGCAACATTGTAAATGTAAACTATGAAAAATAATCTATATACCCACACATTGAATAAATTGATAAGATTACCCAAATGAAGTACTAAAGTCTTTTTGTTTTTGTTTCAAATGAAGATTTTAATGAACAGATTTGCAATGATTTCCAGAATATATTTTTAATGGAAAAAGCAAAGTTTATAAAAGCATGTAGGGAATGCTCAGTTTTGTATAAAAAAAGAGGGAATAACAAAATACACATACATGTGTTCATTTGTGCAAGTGTACACAGCAAGGATACACCAGGGACTAATGAGATTGATTATCTAAAGGGAATGTATGGGGATGAGGTGGAAAGTAGAGAGTGGCCAATTCTCTTGAGTACAGCACTTTGTGTGGCTTTGACTTATGGGAAACGTTAATGTTTTATATACATAAAGAAAAAAATAAATCAAATTAGCAAGAAAGGAGGACAAATACTTAAAATTATACACCTTCAGAAACATATGACCAAAATTGATTTTAAATGAAGTACTACATAGAAAAAAGGAGGGAGAAAGCACAGACCCAGATAACTTTATTATTTTTTAAATTGAGATACAATTCACATACCATAATATTCACATTTTAAAGTGCACAATTCAGTGGGGTTTTGTTTACTGAGAAAACTGAGCCAACATCACCATCCAAATCCAGCACATGTTCATCAATCCAAAAAACCCCCCAAAAAACTGCCATACCCATTAGCAGTCACTCACAAGGCCTCCATCACCCAGCCCGCACAATTTTTTGTGAATAGGTTTTGACTCCCCAAAAACTTGGTTGTTTCTCAGTATCCACAGATTAGTTTCAGAACCCCTGCTTCTCCATGGATACCAAAATTCACAGGTCCCCTATATAAAATGGCATACATAGATCAATGCAGTCGGCTCTCCACATCCAGACTTCCAACTACAAATGAAAAAATGCAGGTATTCATTAAAAAGATCTGCATATAAGCGGATCCATGCAATTTGAACCCATGCTGTGCAAGAAGCAACTATATTGACTTTTGTTTATTCAATCATATGTTGGACATTTGAATTGTTTCCTTTTAGCTATTATTAATAGTGTTACCATGAATATTCATGTTTAAGTTTTTGTTTGAACATGTTTTCAAAGTTCATCCATTGCCATTATATGTATCAATACTTCTATCCTTTTTATGGCTGAATAACCCCATTTATGTACAGTTGATCCTTGAACAATTCTCTTAAGATATACAGCTGAGTGGAAATGTGGCATCATATGACTCTCATTATGCCTATGTTGGCACACTTGATGATATTCCACAAGTTTTTGTGAACCTGTTCATTTTAGTTGTTTTGTTTTTTTCCTCAGACTGGATCATCTTAATAGACCTATATGTAGGTTCACCTTATCATTCTTTTGCCTGCACAAATCTTCTGTTGAGCCCTTCTGTTAATTTTTTTTTTGTTTCACTTACTGTATTTTTCAGCTGCTGTTTCTTTTTGTCTCTTCATTATCATTTCTATTATTTGGTGAGATATTGTTCTCAGACTTTTTCAGCTCTTTAGACATGGTTTCCTTTGGTTCACAGACATAAAGTAGCTTATTTAATGTTATTGTTGAATAAATATAAAGTCTGGGTCTCCTCAAGAACAGTTTCTATTGATTGCTTTTTTCCCTCTGTATATGAGCCAGACTTTGCTTCTGCATATCCTATGTTTTCTTGGAAACTGAACATTTAAATACAATATTGCAACTCCAGAAATTAGTCCTTTCCCCATATTTTGTTACTGGTTTTTGTTGTTTAGTGACTTTAAAACTATTTTTGTGAAGTCTGTATTCTTTGTTATGTATGCCACTGACTCCTCTACTTCATTAGCTTAGTAGTATAACTGGACAGAAATTTCCACATTCTTGAAATCAATACTTTCCTGATTTTGTTGACCGGGCTCTGTGTGCTGGGACACACCTTCAACACTTAGTCAGAAAGTTGACAATTCCACCTTAGCCTTCATTTCTTGTTTGTGCAAGCTATCTCCTGTGTCCTTGTGACATGTAAGTCCTTTCTCTAGCAGTGAAAAATGTATATTGTGTAGCCAGCCAGAGATCGAGTTTAGGGAATCTTCAGCTTCTTCCTGAACATGCAGTTACACCTGCGACTTCCTTAATTCTAAGAAATTTGATTTCCCAAGGATATTCAATTCTTCATATTTCTTTTTAAGCTTTTTGATAAATTTTTTTTTCTTTTTAAGCTTTTTGATGAAATTTTTGTTTGCCCCAAGTTATTCACCGCCTCAAGCAGCTATGTTGAACAACTGCCTCTCTTTGTTTTCTAAGTTATCTCAGGAAATGGCTTTATGCACTGGGCAAGCTCTTTGACACAGACAGATTTGCAAGAGGGGCCTTCCAGTGAACTACCAAAGTAGTCAAATAATAATTCTGATAACCTATCTATGAAGCTGACCCCCAGTGGCTGTCAGCTGCTGGTTTGCAAGATTACCAGGCATATGAGAAGTGGGGACAAGAATAGAGTAAGTTAAAATGGCACAAAGATCACTGTTCTTATGAACATTCAGCTGTTTTTCCTGAAAAATATTCCCTGGATTGCTGTAAGCCTTTGGTTAATTCCATAGCTCTAAAAAGTTGCTTCTGACAATAAGGACAGTTTTCTCATTGCTTTTGACATCGAGAAAAACTTCTGGATGCCCTTATTCCACCATTTTTGCTGACATCATCCCAGATAACTTTCAAACATAGTTTTGGGACCATATGCCCTCGGGCAAAAGAAAAAAGCATTCTAAACATATACTGAACTTTGGTTAATGGACTACTTTTACAGAGGCATCACATCATTAGCAATTCTGAAACTAATTTCTGTGTATTTTCGAGTTGAGAAAACAAGTAAATATATTGTGAAAGACTCCCAGTGGTCAAATTAAGGACAATTTGAGTATCAAAATAAATAAGGGACTTCTATTTCTGACCATTACATAACTGAAACCAGATTTGCCCTTCTACATTAAGCAACTAGAAAACTTAATGAAATTTATAAAACAAAAGTTTTGGGATAATGGATAAAAAGCTGTACAGAATATTAACACCCTAAAGGAAAAAACCAAATGAGTTGAGTGCTTCAGCTCACTACCTGCTAGTTCAGAGTTTAGATAAGCTAATGTGACTAGATTGTGGGAGAAAAAATACAGAAGAGGAAGACGCACAGAAAGGTTCCTAGATGTACAAAAGGAAGGGTTCCTTTAAGTCGATCATATAAGACTGATCTGTGCAATGCGTATAAAGAATCTACCAAGGCGAGAGGGGAAAATCTCTAGAAAGTAGTGGAACAATACCAATAACTTATAGTCTCAGGAATAGTTTGTGTTTTCACCAGACACAACAGAAAGATTTCCTTACAAAGCATAAGATAGTGATTCAGTATTGGGGCCAAATGAGCCCTACACTAAGGTTTCCCAACCTTAGCATTGTTGACATTTTGACCTGGATAATTCTTTGTTGTATATACTATAGAATGTTTAGCAGCATTCCTGGCCTATTATCAGCAAAAACAATAACAATTATAGGGTTAAACATAGAAGCAAAATGTAGTATGTAAATAACAGAACAAAGGCTGGGAGGAAAAAAATTAAAATGTACTGTCCTGCCAGTGTGGCTCATTGGTTGAATGTCAACCTATAAACCAGGAAATCATGGTTCAATTCCTGGTCAGGGTACATGCCTGGCTTTTAGGCTTGATCCCCAATCAATGATTCTCTCTCATCATTTATGTTTCTCTCTCTCCCTTTCCCTTCTTTCTCTGAAATCAATTTTAAAAAATGTGTACTGTAGGTTAGACTGTGATCAATATGTATATTGTAAACCTTATAAGCCAATATTAGACACAACAAATTAAAAAATACCCAATAAAAATAGAAAGAGGTATCCATGAAATCACAATGAAATAAATTTAATACCTGAAGTTCTCCCTTAATATAAAAAACCAGCTAGTAATTGTAGAAATAAGAAACTTTTTTTTTAAATTACCATTTACAATTACTCTAGCAGTAATCATTTCAGTAAGAATTATGGCTGAATGGTATAACTAGTCAGTGAAAGTTTTAGAATAGTCTATAATCTGAAAGTATCTCCCTAAAAATAATTATTCATTTCAAAGTGGAAAATACTAACTTTCCAGTGGGGAAATCTCATAGACATTACCTGAAACAAGAAAATTAACATCACCAGTACTAGTCACATCAACATCACCTGCCTCTTAATATGCACTGGGATAAATAAAACATCCCTCCTGTGATGTTCCTGCCCAAAGTGCCTAACTTGAATTTAATAATGGAGACATCAGACAAACCCAAATAAAGGGACAATGCTCAATACTTCTAAAAAATGTCAATGTCATAAAATACTAAAATAGACTCAGAAACTATTATCAACTGAATGTAAGGTATGATGTTGGCTTTTCAGATGTAAAAAGACATGGGGACAATTGGAAAAATCTGAGCATTTGGTAACTGGATTGTGGTAATACAAGAGAATAGAGAATGACCTTGTTTATAAAGAGAATATAAAGGGAGGAGGTGAGAGAAGGAAAAAAGAAAAATGAAATGGCAAGAGAAAAGGATGAGAACAAGAAAACAGTTGGAGGGGGAGAAAGAATGGAAAACAGAAAGAGAGGGGGATAAATAGAAGAGGAGGAAAAAGAGAAAGATGAAAGCTGCATGTAAAGAAAATGCAGTAAAATGTTAATGCAGTAAATGTTTATGGAATTTGGGTGCAGGACAGGGTGTGGTAAAGAACTCAGCCTTGCCAAAGACAATAATTCAAGAAGGTGAAGGCAATCATGCCAGACCTGATTGGACTGTCTTTATTTAGGGTAGAAGCTGGCTACACTGAAAAAGACAAACCATGTGATTTACCAGAGGCTTGGGTCATGTAGTATCAGTCCCTCTGGAACAATCATGTGGGCAATCAATCAATCATCCCTAAATATTGAAGGCACAGTAAAAATTCTGGATACAAAACCTTGAGAAAGCTCCTCAGACTAGCAATCTGCATTTGATGCCTGAATGATATGTCCGGAGGACAAGAGAAGCTTTGCATTTAGAACCCTCATAGATATTGCTCTACACAACTCTTTCTATGGCTGTTTATAAGTTGTGATGAATAAACTCTGTTAATGTAATAGGTTTCAGTGAGCTCTGGAAATTTTTCTAGCGAATTATGGACCCTCGGTGTATGGGGAACCTTCCACCCATTGCCCTCCCACACACCATCTCCTAACCTGCAACTGGTGTCAGAAGTTAAGAGTGGTCTTGTGTGGGCTTTTCTCTCTAACTTTGTAGTTGGTCCCTAACTCCTTGCAATTGGGGTAAAGTCTTAAGCAGACTTGGCAGTCTGGAAAACAGTGCTCTCAACTTCGTAGCTTGGCTAAATCTGGATAGGCATAGAGACATTTTTCTTTCACTTTTTTTCTGTAATAAATTTTCATAATTGAAATTAATTTCAATCTAACATAACTAAAATTATATCAAAATAAAATTTGAAAAAACAAATTTTGCATTCAACATGAAATAATTTTCTTTCCACACAGTATCTTGAATTCCATTGCTCAAGTTATCTAAATTTTTAAGCTCATGGAAAATGTAGAAATGACTCTCCAGAGCTTGAGAATTCCTGATAACCAGAAGGCTTTCCCTGCCATTAACTTTTGAAGAGATTTTAATATTTATACATATATATTACAGACACACACATATATTTTTATTGATTTCAGAGAGGAAGGGAGAGGGGAGAGACAGAAACATCAATGATGAGAATCATTGGTTGGCTGCTTCCTGCACGCCCCCTACTGGATGTGCCTGCATTTTACTGAAACACAGGATGTGCCTTGTCCACGAATTGAATCATGTCCTCCTGGTTCATAGGTTGACGCTCAACCACTGAACAATGCCAGTTGGGCTTGAAGGAATTTTTAAAATCTTATTTTTCTCTTAAGAGCACATGGCCACGTAATTAGGTGTCATACATTTTGAATTTAACAGAAAGATTTATATGCAGTGACATAGAAAAGTAATTTTTGGTTGTGTTGCTACATTTAAACAATATGTTACCTAAATAATTGAAATGTTCAGAAATCTACAATTGTCCTGGGAAACTAAAACAGTCAAAAAGTACAAGATCATTACTAAATAAAACTATAATAAATATTAATATTTCTTGTATAATTACCTTTATACCCCAAATAAATATTACTTTTTTTTATTGCTATTAGAGAGAGAGAAAAACATCAGTTTGTTGTTCCATCTATTCATGTATTCATTGGTTGATTATTTTATGACCAGGGACTGAAACCATAACGTTGGTTGTACTGGAAAGATGCTCTAACCAATTGAGTTACCCATCCAGGCCAAACATTACTACCTTAATCTTAGTTTTATTAACAAGAATAACTTTTAATAGAGGTTATCTACTTTAAATAGCTACAATTTCCTCATAATTTTCAATTATTATTTTAAATATATCTCAACTTTTATTCTCAAGGCAAAGAAACACAGACCTACTCCAGTGAAATATATTTCATGATAAGCACAAATGAGGAAATCTGAGTAATAATCTCAAAATTATTTTATAAAGGGAATAAAAAATATTTCATATTTTTTAAATCAACTTATGTAGTTGATTTGTGGAAGATTTATATAAACAAAACTTGAACATACTTAAAAAAGAGAAATAAAGACAACAACAAACTTATTTCTATACCTCCTCCAAACAAACTTATCCAAATACGAGTTTAAATAATAAGCTGGCAAAAAAAAACAAAATGAAGGAAAACAATTTTTTAGATGGAAAAGTTCACAAAAAGAGGTACTAATTAATCAATCATCAAACGTAATTTTTTTCCCCTGAAACACAGCAATTTTAGATTGCTGCTCTTTTCGCCGCCTGCTTGCTTCCCATGAAGGATGAAGAGGCAGCTGTGTCTGCTGTTTAGTATTTTGTGGTCTTCTTGGTACATTCTTAATAAACTGATTTTTGAGTTGAGAATCGTCTTGCTGAAAATCTGGGAGGAGGAATCAAAAATAATGAAAATTAAGTATATACCCAAACAACATGAAAAAGAAATGTATTTTATCTTCTCAAATCAGTAATGAAGAAGAAATTTAATTTTACTGAAATGGAATACCTCATTCTAAACCCAAGTCCAATAGGGAACAGTCTAAAGTTGAAATATACAGAACATCAGTGTCAATGTTGGGACACATGCTTCCTAATCCTTGCAAGTGGATGTGTAGTGTATTGCTTGCCTCTTAATATGTGCTGTGATATTTTAGGAAATATCATTTGCTTATGAAATTTGTGTGTGAAGCAGATGTAGCCAGAATGCACACGTCTTTACTAAGATACTGAATCTGACAATGTTGGTAGATTTATTTTTAAAAGGCTTATTACCACAAGGTAAATTACTAAATCTACTTTAATACAAGGCAAAGTTTTGTTTTAATCATAAAGCTACTAAAAGATATGAGGTTGCCAACTTATATTCTAGTCCTTATGGCATCTTATATTATGAGGCACTTCAATTACATTACTTGGAACAAACTACTGTTTGAGAGAGAGAGATACTTGCTTGAAAATATCTGAATTAATGCATGTTTATAGAATCAGAAATAAACGGGGGAGGGGAGAAAGGAGACAAAAAAAAAAAAGAAACAGGGAGGCAAAAAGTTTAATATAGATGTATTAAGCATCCTATATTAAGTTTAATATAGGACACATAATTTCACCACTTCAATTTAGACATCATTATCAAAAGCCTTCTAAAGATCTCCTTAAAAAGCAATGGCATAATCTACATATATAAAAGCATAAGTGACCATTCGACCATTAACTATGATGCACACTGACCACCAGGGGGCAGAAACTCTGGTAGTTTAGCTTGCAGCTGGGGTCTTGCTGATCGGGAGTAGGCGAGACGGGCCGGACATGCCCTAGAGCTCTACTGCGGTCACTCCCCAGCCCCAATTGTGCACTGGTGGGGTCCCATGGCCTGGCCTGTGCCCTCTTGCAATCCAAGACCAATCAGGGGATGTCAAAGAGCCGGTTTCGGCCTGATCCTCAGAGGCCAGGCCAAGGGACCCCACCAGTGCACAAATCCATGCACTAGGTCTCTAGTGTTTTATAAATAAGTGCATACAGTTTCTAAAATGTGTACACAGATTCATATTTCATACAAATCACCATGTGCTCCAGAAATTCATAATACTCAGAGTAGCTCTATGGATGAAGAATGAAGTTTAAATGTTAAGTGAAACTGTTTCATGATAACTGATATTTGAATGAGACAGTATTTTTAAACTATTGTAATATATATTTTTATAATTATGCAAAGTAAATTTGCATGTGTGAGTAAATATTATAAATTAAAAAGTTAAGCAAAAATAAACAAAAAAATCTCTTTTACATAGGTCTCCTCAGGGAAAACATGGGTGTGACTTTAGTTTAGTTATCCTATGTTTGTGAAAATAAGGTAAATGAGATAGATGGCCTTGTGTTTGCCAAATTTGATCTTCTTTTCCTTTTTGGTGCACAACCATAATGTATTTCCCATCACACAACAGGTAAATAAGACCATGTAACTTGAGTTATAGCCAATGGAAGCTTCTATCTCTCTCCTTTATTTTTTTTGTAGTATATTGCCAAAGAGCCATCAGTAGACTAGTCTTTTACAGTTTCCAACCACTTACCACCCAAACTCCCAAAAACATGAAGCCCACTTTCCAAGTTTTCACTGCCAACCGTTTTACCTATCTTTAGCACACAAATGCTCCCTTTGCAGTCTCAGATATCTATTTTCTTACCATCTATCAATTTCAAATTTTTATGTTTTATTAAAAATATTTTTATTGATATTTGATAGGAAGGGAGAGGAAGAGAAAAAGAAACATTAATGTGGGTGCAACATCAATCAGCTGCCTTTTGCATACCCCCTACTGGGGACAGAGCCTGAAACCTGGGCATTTGCTTTGACTGGGAATCGAACTAGTAAATCCTTGGTACACTGGATGATGTTCAACCAATTGAGCCACAGTGGTCAAGGCCAGTTTGTTTTTTTAATGTACAAGTCAATGAACTCGGAGCAGTCACATCCGTGAGCTCTGTGGAAAGCACCACCATCATCACTCAATAATCCTGGGCTTTGAGTTGGATGGGCCTTTGGGTTGGCTTTGTTGGGAAGGAGGTCAATGTGCTCTATGTGTGGGAGGGGAAAAAAAATGGGCATCTGGTGATAACAAGGATGGTGATTATGTGATTTATCTGTTCAAGAAATTCCACTTTATTTTTTTTCTCCTAGCCACAGTCAGTCTGCATTTTTTAACTCCCTTGTGGCTAGATATGGGGTCATGTAATTGAATTTTGGCTAATGAAATGAGAACAGAACTGATTTCTGCCACTTCAGGCCTGGCCCATAATAACCTTCTGCAAAATTTTCCATGTACTTTATTCCCTTCTGTTGGCAAAATGAAGAATATCTGGAAACTGCACAAGGAAGAATCCAAATGAAACTTTATCAATGAATGACTATGTGAAACATAGCCTCTCTGCTGATTCATGCTTGACTGTGATGTGAGTGAGGAACAAATTTTTATTGTTTTTAAATCAGTGATAGTTTGGAATATACACAGAAGTTAGCCGACCCAAATATATTAAACTTGATTTGTTATAAATTAATTTAAAAACACTTTGAGCTGGCCAGAGTGGCTCAGCTGGTTGAGTGTCGTGCTGTACACTAAAAGTTGGCTGGTTTGATTTCTGTTCAGAGCCCATACCCGGTTTGGGGGTTGGGTCCCCAGTTGGGACATATACAGAAGGCAATAGATCAAAGTTTCTCTCTCTCTCTCTCTCCTTCCTTCCCCTTTTATTTCTAAGCATGTCCTCAGGTGAGGATTAAAAAAGAAAATCACAACAAAAACTTTGATTTTATCTCAACCCAGAAAGTAACATACTTGTTACTGAATGTTTAACAGCACAGTGTTGACTAAGATATAGCTCATATAATAATTTACTTAAAGAATACATTAATTTAGTTCAAGATAAGTTAAATACATCCAATATTTCCTAATAAATTTTGTATATATATATATCTTTCCCAATGGCAGGACATAGGGAAATAAAACAACTTAAATCTTACCTAATAATAGATAAACATGTAAACTGACCGTACAACTATGCCCACAGTCAATCAGAGTGAGTATGTAAATTAGAAGGCCAAAAATGGCAGCCGCCCAGGTGCTCCAGGCACAGAGTGGCCAGGCAAGGCAGGTCGCCTGCTATGAGAGGGAGGATGGGGGTAGGGGGTGGGGGTAGAGGGTGGGGTTTGAAGGGATCTACAGGAGCAGCGCTCTGCAGCAGCAAAGACAAGACTGCAGACTCTGGAGTCTGCAGCGAAGACCAAGATGGCAGACTCAGCCAGAGTCTGCAGCAAAAACTAAGAAGGCAGACTCTGGCCGGAGCAAAGGCCTGGGTCCCGGGTGCTGGAAGAAACGGTGCTGGAAGCCAAGGGAAGGAAGGCCTATTGCACGAATCTCTTCGTGCAATGGGCCTCTAATTAATTATAAGATGGTAATTATAAGATACTCTATTTCCATTTCTGTGGGTACATAATTTATTCAGGCTATTGAGTAATGAGAATTTTTCATCCTTCCACTTTGACAAAGCATTGCTTTATTGCATATGAAGGTCAACCAGTCATTAATAACATACCTGGGGTGCTGCTTTTTGGAGCCTGTTCTCTGTAATTTCTAAAAGAAGAAAACATCATTAGGATTTTTAAAAGATAAGTAAATCTTCTGACTTAACAGAGAGAAATAAATTGATTTCACTTACATGTAAATCTAAAGAACAAAATAAAAGAACTAACACAGATACAGAGAACAGACTGATGATTGCCAGAGGGGATAGGTTTGGGGACTGAATGAAAAAAATGAAGGGATTAAAAAGTATAGATTGGTAATTTATAAAGCAGTCACAGATATATAAAGTACAGCAGAGGGAATACTACGCATGGTGTCGAGTGGGTACTAGAAATATTGGGAGCAACACTCTGTAAAGCATATGATTGTCTAACCACTATGCGGCACACCTGAAATGAATAATGTTGAATGTAAACTGTAAATGAAAAATAAAATTTAAAAAGAAAAAAAACCTTCTAACTTAATATCCTATGGTTACCTTGTGTCTATTTTTGAGGTCTATCTAGACAAAGAATTCAAAAAATCTTTTCACAGGGGGAATGAGTCACATATAACAAAAATTAAGACTTACATTTAGTAGGAAAGAAAAAGGATAGTGATATGTTATTTTCAAGTGAGAAAAAAAATGTTGACTTTTGAGGCAGGTTTAGGAGATGTGTTAATAATTTTCAAGGCCCCAAAGATGATTGTGTGTCTTTTCTATATTCATTATATATATACTAGAGGCCTGGTGCACAAAATTCATGCACGGGGGGGGGGGGGTGGTGGTGAGGGGGGGGCTTGTCCTTCAGCCCAGCCTGCACCCTCTACAATCTAGGATCTGTTGAGGGATGTCCAAGTGCCCATTTAGGCCTAATCCCGGCCAGTTGGACATCCCTCTCACAATCCAGGACTGCTGGTTCCCAACTGCTCACCTGCCTCTGCCTGATTGCTCCTAAACACTTCTGCCTACCAGCCTGATCACCCCTAACCAAATCCCCTGCCAGCCTGATTGCCCCTAACTGCCCTCCCCTGCCAGTATGGCCCCCTGTCCTCCCCTTCAGGCCTGACACTCCCCCCCACCCCCAACTGCCCTCCCCTGCTGGCCCAGTTACCCCTAACAACCTTCCCTGCTAGCCTAATCACCCACAACTGCCCTCCCCTGCAGACCTGGGTCCTCTCCTATTGCCCTCCCTTGTTGGCCTGGTCTCTCCTAAATCCCCACACTGCTCTCCCCTGCAGGCCACATGGGGGCAGCCATCTTGTGTCTTGGAATGATGGTCAATTTGCATATTACTTTTTTATTAGATATATCTAATAAAAGAGTAATAAATCAATAAAAAACATATATATATATATATGTGTATATATATATATATATATATATATATATATATATATATATATTATTGATTTCAGAAAGGAAGAAAGGTAGGTAGAAACATCAGTGATGAGAGAGAACCAATGATTGGCTACCTCCTGCATACCCCCTACTTGGGGAGTGTGGGTGGGGTCAAGCCCACAACCTGGGCAAGTGCCCTTTGACCAGAATCAAACCTGGGACCCTTTAGTTCCCAGGCTGACACTCTATCCATTGAGCCAAACCAGCTAGGGCTTCCATACTCTTAAACTTCTATCAACATCACAGTTTTCTATTGTATTAAAATGATCCCTGACCTCTAAATCAGTGTTTCCCAAAGCGTGGTACGCATACCCCCAGGGGTACAGGAAGAGTTTGGTGGGGGTACGTGTTGCACCGGAGTTTGGTGGGGATATGCACTGCACTGTGCTTAGCTGCGCCTAATTCTACGTTCTCATGAGTACGAGGGGTACTCAGCGTTACGAAAATTATAGAAGGGGTACACATATGTCAAAAGTTTGGGAAACACTGCTCTAAATATATAGAAAAACAGTTCACTGAAGAAAGCAGCTAATACTGAATAGCTTACCATGTGTAAAGATACCCCTACCTGACTAAAATTACAAATGAAAATAAACTTATTGATTTAAAACAGAACAGCTGTGCAAAAGTGATAGCAGAGATAGAGACAGCAGCATCACCAAACATTAAAAAAAAAAAAAAAAAAAAGCATTCTGGAGAAACTCTGCTGTTAAGGCAAGCAGCTGTACTGCAATAGAAATATATAATAAAATGATGGGTGCTTACAAGAATGGCCATAGGTTAATAAAAACAAAACAACAACAAAAACCTATCACATTTTTATTCATTAAGTTTTGTTTAAAGAGTGAACTATGTGAGACATTTTCAAAAGTTATTCATCAAGAGGTAACTCAAAGTTTCAAAACTTTGGTAATTGAAGGGATAAACTTAAATTAGTTAGAAAAATTATTTGGCTATAACATCTCAATTTTTTTTGAAGCTGGATAAATGTGTCATTGACATTTGTGTTTTTGTATATATTATCCTAATATAAAGTGGGAGAAATCCAAGCCACAAGATGTAGTATGTTGTATAAACTAGAATTATGGATGTATTTTGTATAAACTAGTCTCTTCTTTCACTATTAGAATGTGTAAATATTTAATGTGTAAATATTTAATATTAGAATGTGCTAAAACTAATAGTTATTTCAGAATACCAAAATATAATTACCTTCTAGAGCTTTTAGATCCAGATAAAGAATGGAAAAACACTGATTCAAACTTCCTTGCTTCTGTACTTGGCTTGTTTTTATCATTTCTTATACTCTCACGGGTTTCAAGTATATCTTCTTCAGGGAACACTTTTTTGGGAGATTTTTGTTCTAAAACTGAAGGACAACTACTTTCCTTCTTTCGTGTCCGTCTGACTTTCCCAATGAAGAAGTCATCTCCACTATCACTATCCTCAGACATGGAAGATTGTTTGTAAAACCTTTCTTCTGTGCTATCATCAAAATACTCCTTCTCTTCTTCATGTGATTCTTCTCCATCACTGTTATCACCAAGTGAACTATCAAAGGCTTTCTTTTCTTGCTTTTGACTTAATGCTTTCATTTTGGGGTCAGTAGGCGTCTTCTGTGGTCCAGAGGGAACTACAGGATCCTTGTCAGAAGGCTGTGATGGAGAATTTGGACTATCCACTGTTTTGAGTCCATGTTCCATATTGGCTATTTTTTCTTTTGAGCTATTAATTGGTTTCTTTGCTAATATTTTGGCTTCCTTGTCTTTTTGCTCACTGATAATAACACCTTCATGCTGCAACTTAATGGCATCATCATTTGAACATGAAGTGTCCTTGGAATGATTTTCTTCTGAAGCTTTTGTTGATGACTTAACTTCAGCATCATTTTGTCTTGCATCTTTGAAGTCTTTGACGGCAGCTGCAAGAAAAATAACACAACTTGTTTCAACATTGAAACAAACAACAAAAATCTCAATGTTCAGTACAATATTCCTTATATTATTTAGGAACTCTTGGGCTAATTTATACATTATATGAAATGCAATCAAGCACCTCATAATGACATTTCCATCAACAATGGATGGCATATATGACAGTGGTTACATAAGATTATAATGGAGTCTAGGTGTGTAGGAAGCCATACCATCTAATTGTGTAAGTATTCTGAACAGTGTTTGCATAATTATGAAATTGCATAATGATACATTTCTCAGAATGTTATTCCTGTCGTTAATAGATGAATGAGTGTACATATAACAAACAGGTCTGAATTTACAAAGAAAGCTACTGACTTTTTAGAAACCAAACTTTGAATAAGAAAGCTCAGGAGTATCCATTTAAAACATAAAATGAGAAAAACCCATCATTTTTTGCCTTGGAGTGTTGAAGAACAGTAAAAATTTTACTGAATGCAAATAAATAAAACAAAATGATAACTTTAATTTCTATAGGAGTAATGTATAGATATAATTGAAGAGCATTATGAATTGGTTTTCAGACATAAAAATATCTTCTAATCTGTGAAAAAGAATTTAATTATTTCAATACATTTTAGAATACACATACTAAAGGGAACCGGTTTGGCTCAGTGGATATTAATTCTTTCAATACATTTTAGAATACACATACTAAAGGGAAATCATATGGCTAAATAGTAGACACATCAAAAATAATAATATGAATTACATCAATAATTAGAAAATCAATAGTATTCAATATAATCATGAATATATATTACATACATTCAAATGTTAGACTTTAGAAAAGAATATGAATTAACTTGGGCTATAGACTCATATATCCAACCACCTACTTGATAGATAATTCTTCAGGTATCAGATACCTTCCATATTTTCAAGCCTCTACCCATACATATGGAAATATTTGAAAGAGATATTTGTAACAGAAAAGGTCCTTGAAAGGCAAAAGAACCAAAAACACAAATAAATCAACAGCCATTTATTTAAAATAATATGCATAAGTGCATTAATAAGTACATGGCTTTAATTCATACCTTTCAGTATATCTATTTTTTTCTTCAGAAGAGGGTGCATTGCTAATCTGGCAATTGCTCTTTCAGTTGCAGTAGATTCAGGCTGCAAATTGAAACAATAAAATTCACACTGATAAAAATACTACTGTCCTTGGACAATTATAATTATTGTGTAATCAATGAATAAATATTTTGACTTCATATTTTAGCTTCATGAATCATGAAAGAATATTTTAGCTTCATGAATCACGAGGGAATAAATTTCTGCTGTTTTAAACCATCTATTTTGTGGCATTTCGTTATAGCAGCCTTAGAGAAACTAATATACTTTGACTGTGACTCTTACCCATCTCTGTTCAACCTTTAAAAAATGTAGACCATTGGGAGATCATTCACTACACACAATATTAAATCAGTTTTCTGCTTCTTTAATACATTTGTAGGTTTCCTGATGCAACACTGGGCTTCTTACCCATTTTATCTACCTTAAAGAGATATGAGAGAATCTGGGAAGAAAGCCTATTGCTAGTATCCTGAGTCACTCAGTGACAAGCTAGGCTGCTGAAGTTTATGGGTCAAACATGCTTGCTTGAACTTTACAGAAAGCATATTAAAGGCTGTAGCGCAGAACCCCCAATGAAAGACATAATTTTTCAGGTTGAAAGGCTCAACACAATATATGAAAACAGTCACATCAGAATATTGACTTTACAAGCTTTCTGAAGAAAAAGCAAACAAACAAAGCAAATCACACACATATGAATAATAATTATATCACACACACTCACATACACAAATTTAGGAATCAGGATCAGAGGTCGAAAGACAATAAAGCAATGCTTCTAAATTTTTGCAGGAAAATGATTTTCAAACTAGGTAAGAATAAAAGTATGTTGAGACATTCAAGGTTTAAAAAAGTTCACATCCCTTGAATCATTCTCCCAAGAAGTAGCCAATGCCTCACCCCTGATATGAAGGATACAGCAAATGAGGAAGGCATGGGACGTAAGAAAGAAGAGATCCAGGAAAAGAAATGCCCACTATGGTGACAGATTTAGAATTAGAATACATGGTATATTAAATATTTTTAGAGGAGATTTCAGTAACTATTGAGGGGTTTGATCCTATGCTAGAGAGAAGATAGAAAACTAACAAAACAAACATAACAATGATAAACTACAGGAAAAGAAATATTATGGAAAGGGAAAAGTAATCACTCACTACATGACATAGTTAAAATAACATAATCACAAAATACTCTCATTTAACTTAAATTTATATATAATCCTACTAGGTGTAGCAGTTAATAATAGTGGATTTTATAATGAAAGAAAACACGGCAATTCCAAGAGAAACATCAAAAGTGTTTTATTCAAAATAATGTCCATTGCTAACTACATGTTTCCCTATCTTTCAGGAAATTTGTGGATACTGTCCCAATAGAACTGTTCTTGTTTTGAGGGTCTCATTCATAGACCCAATTTTCTACTTTCAGAACAAGTGATAATCTGAAAGAGCAAGGATCCTTGCAGATTTAAGAGATCACAATGGATTAGGGTGGGCCTTAAATCTAATATGACTGGTATCTCTTAAGGACATTTGGTTGCAGAGGCACAGGAGACAGAAAATGAAGAAAGAAGGCTGAGGCAGAGATTGAGTTAAATTGCCACAAGCCGAAGAAACCGGTTTGGCTCAGTGGATAGAGCGTTGGCCTGACGACTGAAGGGTCCCAGGTTCGATTCCAGTCAAGAGAATGTACCTTGGTTGAGGGCACATCCCCAGCAGGGGGTGTGCAAGAGGCAGCTGATTGATGATTCTCTCTCATCGATGTTTCTAGCTCTCTATCCCTCTCTCTTCCTCTCTGTAAAAAAATCAATGAAATATATATATATTTTTTAAAATGAATTGCCACAAGCCAAGGAAGGCCTAGGAACACTAGAGGTTGGAAGCAGCAAAGAAGGGTTCTTTCCTAGGACTCATTGCTTGTAAACGATCAGAAATCGTTTGCTGAGCAAGGTTTAATCTTTCTGCAAGTTGTTTTTAAGTTTGACATGCATCTTCTTCCAATAATGCTTGTAATTTTTGGTCTTCAAACTTTTTCGGTTGACCTGGACATTCTTTTATCTTTCAAAAGAAATCATCACTTTTAAAGCATTTAAACCAGCATTCACAAGTATCTTGAGATGAAGCATGTTCACCATAAGCTTACCGAAGTATTCAGCCACACTTTTCCTCAAAATAATGAATTAAAACTTCCTGCAAATGCTCTTTTTTGGGCACAAAATTCAACATTTTTAAGTGTAAATATATCTATGATGTTAACACCTTCAGCAAATTTGACATATGAAGTTTTGAAGCTTGTTGTCAATACAACAAAATAGCATATATATCAACATATGTGTAATTCCATCTATTAAAAAAAAAAAGTCCGCATTATTAATTGGTACACCTACAATATAATAAAAGGCTAACATGCAAATTGACCAAACTGCAGAACTACTGGTCTCTATAACACGCACTGACCACCAGGGAGGGGGCAGATGCTCAATGCAGGAGCTGTCCCTAGTTGTCAGTGCACTCCCACAGTGCGGGTGCCACTCAGCTGGCTCATAGCTGGAGAGCGCAGTGGCAGTGGTTGAAGGTAAGGAGTGAGGGGTCCTGGACTGCAAGAGCAATGTCTGACAGCCGGCTTAGACATTTCCTGAAGGGTCCCTGACTGCGAGAGGGTGCAGGCTGGGCTGAGGGGGACCCCTCATGTGCAACCCCCCACCCCCACCCCCCCGCTCCAGTGCTTCTAGTCTACATATATTAGAAGAATGGAAAGGTACAGATATGACATGGAGGAGGAACAAGAGAAATCCTTACAGATCACAGCAAGAAGTCAAGAGCTTATGCTTAAAAGTAATCATTTTAAGTTGAAAGTGGGGGGAAACTAATAAAGACCTGTCATTTTCACAAAAATTCTTGTAGAAGTATTTGACTCTTATATCCGGTGGTAGGCAAGCCGGCCAGTTCTCACCTGTTGCCTATCTTTTAAAATAACGTTTTATAGGAACGCAGGCCCATAAATTCATTATACAACCAGCCATATGCACTCCAGGGCCCTGCCCTTCTTTCTGGTTCCACAGGAAAAGAAGACACTGCAGCAACAACTATTTATCTGTAACTGCTTTCTTCAGTATATTTCCTGTAGCAACAAAAAATTTGTTTCAAAGATAATGTCCAACATATGAACATCTGTATTTATAAAATAGGCAAATTTGAAAGTGACTATTCTCATCACATGGGTTAATTTCACGTGTTTTTAGATAAAAAATTCTGGGAATCCTAATAGATTTTGACTAAATGCATTCACATAGAATTGCTCAAAACATCTACTACTAGCTTTGACAACTTGCTAAAAGCTTTGATAAATTGGGTATTTTTCTTTCCAGAGTTAGCTACAACTTTCCATCTTAGTTATAAAAAGTTTTAGAAGAGCAGTGGTAATACCTGCATGTCTGGTGTTGACTCTAGGTAAATACTGTTTTGTTAAGAATCATTTTATCACCGAGTTCATTTACTGTTATTTCTCTGCCCTGGAAAATATCCTACAGTGACTTAATGATGCAAATTCTGTAAATTCTATGTGTTTTAAAGGCTCTAGAACAGCGCTCACCAACTGGTGGTCTGAGGTCCAAAAGGTTGGCGACTGCTGCTCTAGAATAAGTTTTAAACTGTACAATTATGTATTAATTTAATAAATGAAGAAGTTATTCTTATTTATGTCTGATAGGTAATCTTGAAATCAAATCACGACAGTTTGTTAAATAAAATCTTTGGTCTGGCCAAAACCGGTTTGGCTCAGTGGTGGAGCGTAGGTCTGCGGACTGAAGGGTCCCTGGTTCGATTCCAGTCCAGGGCATATACAATACATTGGTTGCGGGCATATCCCTGGTAGGGGGTGTGCAAAGGGCAGCTGGTCGATGTTTCTCTCTCATTAACGTTTCTAGCTCTCTATCTCTCTTCCCTTCCTCTTTGTAAAAATATCAATAAAATATATTTAAAAAAAAAATCTTTGGTCTGTGTTTGCAAATCCTTTGCAAATTCTTATTAAAATTTATATTTAAACAAGTAAATGAATGGTTTTTAATTGCTTTTTGAAGAATAAAGTTAAAAAAGGATTTAAAGTATTAATTTCACTTTTTTTTTTACTTAGGAAAAATAAGTTTATTTAAATGATTGCTGAAATTACAAAATTGGTATTTTTAACTAACTTGCTTTAAATAAACAATTTAAGAACTACATGTATCAAAGTCAGGTTTCTGAATTCAGTCTAGTATGAGAAGTTGTTGAGAAAGAAAATTTCTTCCAAATTATCTGAGATAACTTTCTCTCACTTTGTGACCCAACTTCAAGCCCCTTTCCCCTTTTGGGAAAGAAATCAAATATAAACATTTTTAAAAAGAGGCTTATGAAGCAAGTGGGCTCAGGCTCACACTGTTGGTTGTGCTTTGGGACTGCTGCAAATTGTTTAAAGCACCAGGCTAAGTGTAGGAGCTCATAAGAATAAGCAGGCAGCCACTGCCGTGAGACTTCCTTTCTCTCGGTCTAATTTCTCTCCGATCCATCCTCCTTCCTCACTTACATCCTCCCTCTTTATATTTACTCATATTTATATTTTCATTTATATAAACATGACTTATTATATGAAAGTATGGTCTTGAAGACAAATACCATCTTTTGAGGTCTATAATCTTGCACTAATTCAAAAAATTAAGACAAATGCACAAAGAACAATTCCAAGGCAGAACGTGATAAACTTCATAGGAGAGACAGGAAATGCTATGGAAGTTTACAAAAAATTTTCAAATAGTGTCATACATCTTAAATTTAAATAAATTTATTTTTCAGTTAAAAGACTAAGTAGTCTGTGAGCAAATAGTTTTTACACCTGCATGAAAGCACTCACAATATTGTGGGGTATGAAAGGAACCTCAGGTTTCCTTATTTAAAGTTGACACAATGTTTGCCATGGAAAATTCTCAGGAAACTGTGGTTTAACGCACCTCCAGTTTCTTCCATTTCAAATAAATTAAATAAAAAAGGGAAAACACCTAATTT